ATATCACTTCCCGGCTGCCCACACCGTGGAAGGGTATTTCATGGGGAACCTGAAAAGGAAATTGGATTAGTGTTGGTCTTGACGACCTGGGAGCGTGACCGCAGAGCCCAAGGGACAACTGCTTGAGGCCGGTCGAGCACAGATTTTTTGTGGAAGGTTTTTGACGTGTTAGCTCCGTTCTTCAAAGGGCCTTGTCGCCGGAGACGGAAATCCGTGAGGTAAGGTGAGGTGTGACATTTTTAGGGTCGACCTTTTCTAACCCCCACCGCGACCGCCGCCTCAAGGTAGCAGCTTCGGTCGGGTCTGTGCAAGGGTGGTTGTGCTCGATAATAAATGAGGTGATCTTAAGCTCACCATTTACTGCACGAACCCAAAATGCAGATCAGCAGTGGCAATATTTACACCTGAAGGATAAATTAGTCTGACGTCGACTTCTTGTCTAGATTGTTGTGGTGAGTTAGAAGGTGAATGTTCTTCGGATGAATGTTGATCACCATAATCGTCTACATCTTGTAGACAATCATATTATAACGATGCACTGCGTTTATCTCCATAAGTACGAACATATTTGGAGTTATGTCATTTTTTTTGTTCTTTTTACATACTGACACAACATACTTAGAGTGCGTATACTATACGAAAATCATCAACCACAGAAGTCCTATTACCTTATGTACTTCTTTCAAGCAGGTCTCAGAATTGTCCCAACTGGTATATCGTCGCGATAACATAACATCGCTGAAGATTTGTCCTATATAATTCATCATTACGACGGCATCACTTTTCTTACTTGAAGGATGGATGTTATCACACAGTGTGCTTGAACTCCAATCAAATCTAAAATTGTCTTGATTGAGATGGATTTGTCCTCAACGTTTCTATGTGAGCCTAATGTATCGCCCAGTGTAACAACGGTCACGTCTGTGTTCAAGTAATGATAGAATGTCATTTTTTAATGTATTTCTTATCAAATAAGTAGATTATGCTGCGAATTTTGCTCTGGTTGTAATTTTTATTCGCATCGTCCAACTACGTTACACTGTACGTTCATTGCATGCTGGAATGATATCCCGAGTCGTAGTAAGTTTATTCACATCTTTGATTGTTTCCAGATAGACCGACAGTGTATAGTGTTACTGAAGAAAGGTTTGTTGTGCTGTAAACTATGTTTTTATGAACAACTGACTGTTGTCTTAAGTCTCAAAACAATATCCTTTGTCTTCTGCTAGGTAAGTTTAACTGGCCTATAGCCCGTGTTTTGGTTTTATTGGCAGAATTATGTACATTTAACTACTTTGAGTAACATGTCTGTGCAGATGAAACAATAATTCTGACACTTGCTTAGTTTAGTATTCTTGGTTGTCGTATAATTCAGTTTGGTCTATAGAATTATACTACACTTAAGTATAGTGCTTGAAGCCTGCAACGAAATATATCAGTTTAATAAGTAGAGCTGCCTGTTCTTAATGAGTATACTGATTCAAATCAGTCTGATTAAAAATAGGAAAAAAAGTGCCTTTGATGCTGTTGCTGTCATACGTTATAAGACAGCGGTATGTTTGGTGTTTATTTCTAGACTCTACATCTAGCACTGACCATATTTCGAGATCATTGTCATTAAACGATTCCCCCAGCAATAACATCGGTAGCAAGATAGCTAAGCGTCTGAGCTTTAAGTTGCCTTCATGACAGCAGTATACAGTCCTAGAAGATGAGTGTTCTGTGTCTCAATGAAATGCAGCTGGCTGTCGACAAATGTTAAGAATCTTTTTGACAACTGGGACTTTTAGTTTATCAGACACTAATTCTGCTTGTATGTCTTCCTGTTAAACCAGACGCAGATACATGGGAATACTTAAATGGGAGCAAAACAATAAAAGCATTGCAATACGGTACTAAGCCCATGTTATGCTTTGCACAAGTCATAGTAGCTGACCTGCTCTAATATTCATGAACTCGATGCTGCATAAATTCTTTACTAAAAACATGTAATTTGCTTACTTATCTGTTCCACATTTCTGACTTCATTCAGTACTATTTTTTCATTTAGAATGCGACAGAAGTGAGCCTTCAGGATCCTAAAAACCCCACGGCTTCCTTTTATGGCCAAAACAGCAAACATACACTACACACTGATAGCAGATTTCCGGCTTTTCAGTGTTAAGCTTGCTTTCACGCACGACGTAATGAGTGAAACCCTTTTATTACTGCTGTGTGGTATATTTGTAATAACAAACCCTCTGCAGTGGATTGGTAGCATCTGTGACTTCGTCTATGGTTGTCGGAAGCCTATGCCCTTTCGAAAACAATACTGATATCCCCTACTGCTGGGCACTTAGTACTAGTTTGACTCGTTGATGGGATAGTGTTGTTCATAATACTTAAGAAAATAAAAAATCGGAAATCGTTTTCTCTCATTTCGCCAATAACATCATCAAGGACAGTTAAGAACGTACATGCGGACAGTTAGAGTCACAGGCGGCAGCAACAATTATTTTAGCTAAAAAACTAACTCCGGCTTTGAATATCTAAAAAACAAGTCAAAACAAAACCGATCATAATTTTAAAACATAAGACTAGCGAGCTTGCCTGAAGAAATACACTGACTTCAGTAGCAGCGGCGAAAACCCAGGAAACAAAGTTAAATCAGAAAAATATTGCTGCAACATTCAAAGTAATACATTAACTTCTGCATTTTAGCACACTGAAACATTAAATTCTGTAGCTACACAAAAGAAATAGCGGAAAAAGCACAGAACGAAGAAAGCCTGCCACTGCTTACGAAGATGGCGGATATAATAATCCTTGCTTCATTCTGATTGGTCGCTAAGCCGACTGCCGCGTTTACGAAATCGAGTTGCGTTTAATTGCAGCCCTATCCATCCCGCAAGGTGTCATGAGGTATGGTAACTTTGTTTACATTGTTTTGAATTCTTTCCATAACACTGAGTTATAAGTCTGTAAGTCAATAACATTGACATTTTCGTTTGAAATCTTGAATTTTTGTGTCCAAATTTCAGTGACATGACTGCTCATTCAAATGACTAGCGAAATAAAGGAGACATATTTGAGAATTCGGTGTGGAATAAAGGGAAATACAGGCATTTGTCGCATTTTTACCTACCCTAGGGAGATAGTAAAGTTTTTTCGCATGATATTCAGAAATCCAAGCAAACGAAATGAGAGCGAACTTGGGAGGAATCTTGTGGAAAATCTTCAAGTTAAGTCAGTGTGAATTTAGGCGACAATGCATTGAAATGTCTTTATCTTATCAGCCCGTGTAAAAAATGCGTATTTTCCCCGAATTTCCTCCTTGAGGGATAATGTCTCGAAATTAACACTTATCTTCCCTAAAATGTCTACTTTTCCTCAGTATTAACTTCGGATGGTCTAATTATCCGTAGTTTCAACAAGGGTTATAATTTCTGGCAAAGCTTAACGTACTAGTATACTGCGTACTTCAGAAGTTAGCATTAGTTCTCCAAATCAAGTAAATTATGCACTTGTTCGAGATAATTAACAGTGGTTTGAATGAGAACAATTTATTACCACTTTTTGCATATGCAATTGTCAGTAATATTTACATAGAGGGAAGTATGAAACGTCCACATTGCAAATGATAGAAAAAGTTGTCTTCAATCGTGATCTAAAAAATGGGTGAGTTTTATGTCCATATATAAAGAAAGCTTCGTTCAAACGAGATACTCATGGATATCAACGTCTACATGCTAAATCAACGTACTTGATACAAGTGGAAAGTTTAATATAGGCTTAAAGAACATTCATATCGCAAAGAATATTTACACTAAAGATAACTTTTACAACAATGTTTCCAGTAATAAGCAGCGTTCTCAACACTTAAATTCTAAAACAAAACAGCACTTGACAATTATGGATATTTTTATTACTTATTACCTATTAAAAATTTATTATCCAATAAGCTGAAACTTACAGTGATATAGCAAAGAGTGTATGACGACATCTAAAAACGAAAAAGTGTTCAGTCAAAATCGCACATACATCTTAGGCCTTAAGGCTTGTGATATTTTTTGCGGAGTACATCTTATGGTTTTGAATTTTTTGAACGCTTAAAGACTTCTGATTTCACTTTTATAATACGTGCTTTTATTAAAGCATCATAGTTGTTATTCTTTGCACGTATAATCTTTTGGCTGTACTTCTTTCGCGAGTGTAGAGAAAAACTTGTGTGGTTTGTGCTTTGTAAGGCGAATGGTCCGTTTGTGAAACGAGTACTTCATTCTTTTGTGAGTACGATATAAATTATTCTTTTCGACCAGTGTTTTGTCATTCTGATATTTATCGAAATACGTATTTCGTATCTAATTTTGTTCACCTTTTCGGTGTTTTCAGTATTTTATCGCGTTTCGACCTATCCAAGTGTCTTAGAAAAAACGTCGTTGTGGTAGACTCACACTCCTCTTTTCGGATGGGGATGACGTGCGACATTATAACCTTAACAAATGATACCATCTAACTCACTCCTGTATATAAGAGGTGTTGCAGGGGAGTTGTTTTTGTCGTGCCAAATATGCTTCTTCACAAGGTCTCTGTTGATACTCAGGACGGTTGAGTTGCCAAAACGATCTAGGAAGCTTCCCACAGGTCAACAACAAGCTTTATTTAACATGGACTAATCAATAGACCTTGAGGACTTAATGTTTAGTATCATTAGTTTAACTTCATATCTGAATACATTCATTCCGTCTTAACTCCAAAAGTAGAAGTTGATGATGAACACACTGATACACTCACAGCTACATAAATATATCAAAGATGCAAAAAGGATGAAATATAAGTTCTAAAAAGCGTGCGTCGCTGGATACAACCTCAGGACCCCATATCTATGCTACAATGACCATGTCAGATCCTGGTTCGCACAAAATGGAAGAAATTCACTTAAATCAAAAACTGGCCAAAAGCGGGATCTAGTAAACCAACTTAAAAAACCAGGAAATAAAGCGTATTCGTCGGTCACCAAACCGGGCCTCAGAGTAAAAAAGTTTAAGGGAAGGAACCTTAAAACCTACCAAGATAGGTCCCTCAGAGAGGTCCGTGATCTTCCTTAGGGTGAAATTCTTTCGAAAAGGACTAGAAGGCAAGGCTTTATTTATTATTTATTTATTTATTTGAACACATAAATATTGGTACAAGAATGCGCCAAATATATATGCGCCACACAAAACAATGAGAATTTAAGGGGAAGGAGAAAAAAAAGGAAAGAAAAGAGATTGATGTAAGGTGGTGTAATGATAATAATGGTAAAAATGGCGGAACAGAAAGGTACAGTCAGAAGAAATCTTTCAGTTAAGAGAGACACAACCACTTTTTATGAAGAAAGTAAAAGAAGATTACAGCAGGATCGCCACTGGCTTCTATTCTGAGCCATACCTGATAACGTCTCTAGCCACTGTGTTGCACCATCTCTCAGACTCCAACCAGGGAGTCGTGAAGGACCGACAGAAGCCAGTCCTTTGTAGCTTTCTTTCATACCACGACACCATGTCATATACTGACCACCTCTCCGCTTCTTCCAACCAGTCCCAGAGTCGGCAAATAATGCACGACGTGTAATTCTCTGGGACGACATTCGTAGGACTTGTCCAAGCCACCGAAGTCGGTGTTTCAAGATGGTGACACCAATTGCATTATCGTTTCTGTGTCCGAACACACGATGCTGAACCTCTGCATTACTGACATGGTGTTGCCACTGAATGTCAGCAATCCTTCGGAGACAGCGATGATCGAACACAGAGAGTCGTCTAACGTCCTCAACTCGGAGAGGCCAGGTTTCACAAGCACAGAGCAAAACTGCTCTCACCGACGCGTTGTAGATCCGATCTTTTACAGCCAGACTAACATCACGAAGGCGCCAAAGGTGGCCCAGATTGGCATAAGCCGCTCTGGCTTTCACTATACGTGCATTGATCTCATCACTCACACCCCCACCATCACTCATACAGCTACCCAGACACACGAACTTCTCGACTACTTCTATCTGCTCACCATCCAGAGTGAGTGCAGGGTTAGAATCCTGCCAGTCTTGTAGAAGTACTTTGCACTTCGAAGGTGCAAAGTACATACCATACTGATTGCCAACTGATTAAGTGCGGATTGCATGCCTTGGGCATTGTCGCACAGTAAGACAATATCATCCGCATACTCAAGGTCGAGAAGTCTTTCTCCAGGCAACAGATCCACACCACCATTACTTACATTCATCAGAGCTGTTTGCAGAATGTCATCGATGGCAAAGTTGAAGAGGAATGGTGAGATTGGGCAACCCTGCCTAACCCCACTGCTCGAATGGAACAATGGAGAGAGGTGGTTGTATGCCCTCACTCTGCCTGAGGTGTTTGTATATAGGGCTTTTAGGATGTTAATAAACTTCTCAGGCACACCCTTCTTCAATAGACAATCCCAGAGAACAGTCCTATCCAACGAATCGAAGGTAGCCATGATGTCAAGAAACACTACGATTGTTGGTCTTTGATGAGTATGGCGGTGTTCTAACATTTGGCGGAGGGTGAAGATATGATCAATACATCCTCGACCCGAACGAAACCCAGCCTGCTCCTCACGAGTCAATCTTTCTCGGGTTTTGAACAACCTACGAAGTATGACGGAAGCCAATAGCTTGGACGCAATCTGAAGTAGACTTATCCCCCGATAGTTGTTACAGGAACGACGTGAACCCTTTTTAAAGATAGGGACAACTATCGACTCATTCCATGACGTTGGTACACTCTCTAGTTCCCAAACCTTTGTAAACAACATCGTCAGTTCTTTAGTCAGAAAGTCACCATCATCTTTAAAAAGAGCCGGAGGTAAGTCATCTGGACCAGGTGATTTGTAGCGTTTCAAGAGTTGGAGTTCCTTGCGGACTTCCGTCTTATTTGGTGGATCAGTCGTCACCGGCCATGGAGGGCAGGACAGTCTGACCGATGTTGCCGGAGCAGCAGGCCAGTTGAACTGCCCTTCGAAAAATTCTGCCCATCGTCCAAGACGTCGATGGATGTTAGTGATTGGCATCCCGTCATCCTCGCAGATTGTTTCATTCACACTAGACTTCTTGCTGCCAGTGGCTCGGATGAGTTGGAAGAGCTTCCGGTAATTACCAGATGCAGCTGCTGCTTCCAACTCATTAGCACGCTCCGACCACCAGGCTTCTCGGTCCTTACGCAAGGTTTGCCCAATTTCATGACGTAACATCCTTCGTTTGTGGTCAAACTCACGGTCACCCGGAGTAGACCGACGGGCTTCAATGAGTTGTAAGGAACCAGAAGAAACCCAGTGCTTATAAGCGGGACGTTTCGCGAACCCACAACTGACTGTACCCGCCATTTTCATGGCGTCATGCAATTGCAACCAATGCTCATCTATACTTTTCAGTGGAATGGTAGCTAGCCTAGAGGCTAGCTCGGTTCGATACTTACTTGCAACAGAAGTTGCAACCAGCTTGCTAATATCAATCCGTTGATGGCGGTCACTTCGTTGTCCACTGAAAAGTAAGGCAAGATTGGCGCAGACCAAGGCATGGTCAGAGTCCAGATAGGTACTCCAAAAGGAGCGGCAGTCTTGTACACAACCACGCCAGCGGTAGCTGATCGCGATGTGATCAATCTGAGTCCAGGCTTGAGATGCAGAGGGAGGACGCCAGGTGGCACATCGGCGATGACTGTGCCGAAAGTTAGTGCTAGCCAGAAACAGGTTGTGGTCTGTGCAAAGTTGCAGTAGATGGTCCCCGTTATCTGACCTGCGACCAGCGAGTCCCCATCGGCCACCTAAACGACTCTCTTCTGTGCCTAGACGCCCGACCTGAGCATTCAAGTCTCCGGCTAGTACCACAATATCTGTCGAACGCACTTTCTGGAGAAGAACAGATAACTGGTGGTAAAACTCATCCTTGATTGCATCCGGGCTGCAATCTGTCGGAGCATAGGCGGAGATGACGAAAAGACATTGTTTCTCACGCCGATTTCTTCTCACTTTGATGGAACTCTCTAATCTAGCAGCACATAACCGACTGTTGACGGGGATCCAATCGACTAGTGCTGCCTCAGCTCTAGCGCTTAGTGCGACACCAACGCCAGCAAGACCAGACGAAGATACCACAGGGTCCCCGGATAAGCGCACGTAAAACAAGCTTTTTGAATCGACAGATGGAGATCGAATTTGTAGTACTTCACCACAGTCTTGAATACGGGTCTCGGATAGACAGAAAACATCGATATAAAGACTTTCTAAAGACATAGCCAGCCCTATCTGTTGTCCGACCTGCATAAGTGTGCGAACGTTGAAGGCAGCCAGTTTGAATGGTGCATGTGGTTTAAGAAAATCTGCTTCAGCACTCATATTCGGTGGTAACATACAATTTTCAACCGGACAGTGACTCGAGAACGTTTAGATAGAGTCGAATTTCCACCAAAGACGAGCTGCTGTATAAACCGAAAAATTAAGTATAGACGGAGTAGGAATAAAAGAGGGTGAATAATGATGTAGTAAATAATAATAATAATAATAATAATAATAATAATAATAATAATAATAATAATAATAATAATAATAATAATGATAATAATAATAATAATAGTGATGATAATAATTTGAATCATTTGATTGTTATTCGGAGCGAGAAATGTTTCCATAGATATAGAGAGTTCATCATTTGCGTGTGGGCTGTGATACTGCCCGGGTGCCCGCACCGAAGCAGGTGGTTATCTTAGGGGGCCACTCCCCGAGCCTTTGACCTAAAGGTCTAACCCACAAGGCAGTGGAGCATCGTAAGGAGATGCAATCCCATGGTAGCCGGTGACCGAAAATTGGTTCATACGCCATTTGTTCCCGCAGGATACTGGAGCCCATGTGTACCATTGATTTGTGATCCGGTTAAAGCGCCGGACATTCGCTTTTCGTCCTCTCATTTTCGTAAACAACACCCCTGCCACGAGAAGGCAATGAATAGGACTTCCCTGGCAGAGGCTGTATACGCATGGCCATGTGAGAGTATTTCGAGAGGGAGGGCGGACCCACACCGCTCTCGGCCGTACCAGGGTATTTGGGGGCACAAGGCTTTAACACAACGTAAGTCACTAGTATGTAAGCAACCTTCGCAAACGGTCGCAGGAATTAACACACACAGGCTATACAGAATAGGACAGGAAGCGAATTTAGATTGTTTTCGGGAAAGGTACCTCTTAAACGTTACTGTTGCTGTGATTGAGGAGCCAAATCTATCACGAAGTACACATAAATTGCCGGGACCTGTAATATGAGTTCGTGCGGACCATAGTTTGGGTGATTTTATTGAGACTCTCTAGAGAACCAGAAGCAAATGGGTGCTGTCGAAAGGATAACAACCTTGTACTTCGGTTTGGAGTAAAGCGATTTTTAGACCACTCAGCGGTAAGGAAAAACATTTCACAGAGCTAATGGATTGTCTTCAGATGCTGGAAGCCTGCAAAGTAAAATGGTGAAGCTTAGGAACATTGAAGACGCACAAAACACTATTGTTAATGCTACCCCAAAAACATGGCTAACGTCAGAAGTAAATGGCAACGAAATTCAATTGTTCAGTTTCCCATTTTATGGTCAGTCAGTCATTTACAACGTACGACCAAGCACATATGTGCATCGGTCGAAGTTGCCATACCTCACTAGCACGACAGAATGAACACCGAATTCATAGACACAGTTACTTCAATGGCAGTAGTATATGTAGATAAAGGTTACACAAAAGGATATGATACAGGGAGAAATAATTAGATCGTAGAAAGAAAGGTATAAAGTAATTTTAATCTCACTGTTTAAGGGAAGACAAAGAGTGTATACACTTACGCCATTGTGATCTATTCTGAGCCATGTCACTCAGAGTCTCCAACCATTGGTTACGATAGTCGCGCGGACCCCAACCAAGTAGTTTGCATCTACCAACATGACTCAGACCAGAAGTTAGTGGCTTTATGAACTGATGCGACGTTTTGGTTCGGTCGCACCTAACTTTCTTCCACCCGTCTCCAGTACTAGTCAGCAGCATTGAGCGCCGTGGTAGTCGGTGGTTGTGCATGCGTAATACGTGACCCAACTATCTCAGTCGATGAAGGTTCACAACCTCATCAACTGACTTATTATTATTTACTGAGAGCCTGAGTCTAACCTCACCATTACTTACCTGGTGATCCCAACAGATACGAGCAATATTTCTAAGACATCTGTGGTCAAATATTAGTAACTTACAAGTATCCTCTACTCTTGATGGCCGCGTTTCGTAGCCGTAAAGTAGGACAGAACGAACTACTGCGCAGTATATTGGTCCTTTAATTGATAGACGGATATCTCTCCTTCGTCATAGGTGGTGACGTCAGTTGGCAAAAGCCAAACGAGATTTCTGAATCCATGTAAAGATTGCGTTAGACACCAACTGATTAGGGCTGATCAGACTTCCAAGATAAGTGGTGTTGTTCACGATTCGACTACTTCACTCGCTACCCTTGGTTTCGATAGGATACCCTATATATATAAAATATATCACTTCTTTTTGAATTTCTAGTGTAATTGCATCAATCAAAAGTATTGATGAACTTTTAAAGGAAGTCAAAAAATATGAAGGAAAAAGAATATTTATCCTGTTCTGTGGTACACCCCTGTCAGATGGGACTAACTGGTGTCCTGATTGTGTGAAAGGTTGGTATTATAGTTGTTTTCATATTTGACTTTGTGTCGTATGTGCAGTAATGGTCATCTGTCCCCTCTAGCTGTGATATATAAAAACCTAGGTACTCAGAATATCATAGGTCAATAGTAATGCATTAGTTCACTTCACCTCTCTGGTATTGGTCTTTTTTGGACTCGACCAACATTTCTACAGTTATATGAGTGCAAGAAAATCTTATGACTTAGTGTGAGCAGAAGCGCTTACTAATCTTATAAAAATACTTTACACGTTGGTGGAGTAAAGTGCATATTATACGTTTTTGGTGCCAATGATCTATTAGTAATGTGACTTAATTATTTCCCATGTTATCTCATGGCAGCATTGGGAAGCCCTATTGATTTGAGGTAATGTACGTAGTTTGAATTTGATATTAGAAGTACTTTTTTAACAGACATTCTTAAAGTACAGATTTATTTATTTATTTGAATACATAAATATTGGTACAAAGGGGCACCGAATAGATATGCGTCACACATGGCTCAAAATCGTTTGCAATGGCGCAGGTGCATCCACTCTCTGTGTTCTCTCAAATTCTAATCTGAATTCTTCATGTCCCTTTTTTCCTCTTTCCAAATTTATTTCACTGGATTATACTCTATAAATAACATCTCCAAACCCTAATCTTCCCGATTACTGCTTATACTCTTATTACCTCTACCACTATGGGATTTGAATCGACAACTGCATCTCTGTGCTAATGTGGTGTGGCAACTCGAAATGATGTACGTACGTACGAAGTTCTACGTTGTTACTGACTGACTGACTGACACAAGTCACTTGATTCGTGTGTGGGCTGTGATACTGCTCGAGTGCCCAGACCGAAGCAGGTGGTTTTCTTAGGTGGTCACACCCGGAGCTTTCGACCTAAAGGTCTGATCCACAAGGCAGTGGAGCAACGTCAGGAGATGCAGTCCCATGGTAGCTGGTGACCAACAATTGGTTCATACGACATTTGTTTCTTCAGGATCCTGGAGCTCATGTGCAATATTGGTTTGGGATCAGGGTTTTCCAACTCCCCTGGATGGATCGTCCATATCCACCGACCCGGTTAAAGCGCCTCTCAATTTCATAGGACTTCCCTGGCAGCAGGTGCATACGCACAGACCTGTGGAACAAATACGAGGTAGTCGTAGTTGACGAGGAATACAGTTTGGTCAGTGGCTAAACAATACCTGTCGTGCTTATCACAACCCATTTTCCGAT